GCCCGATGAAGTAAGCGCTTTGGATATTTTAAATGTTCCGGACGACGGGGACGTCGGCTATATTGTTGAGGTTGACTTAGACTATCCAGCTGCGATACATGACACGCACGCCGACCTACCGTTCTTTGCGGAAAACATGGAGCCACCAACCGGCACACTCCAAGGGCGAGGCGGCGGCGGCAGGAAGCGATATAAAAATTAATAGCAAACCTGTACAATAAAACAAAGTAAGAACGATACGGTAAACCAACCAACCAACATTTTTTACATTTTTTTTTTTTACCTTGTTTCAGATTTGTGACGCACTACCGATGCTTAAAGCAAGCTGTGGCCAACGGGTTGATTTTACGGAAGGTGCATCGAGTATTACGGTTCAGACAAACTGCGTGGATGGCTGAATTTATTCAATTCAACACGAGACTTCGGGCAAGTGCGCGCACAAAGTTTGAAATTGAACTAATTAAATTTTTAACTAATTCCATATTCGGCAAAACCTTGGAAAACCCAGAGAAAAGAATAAATGTTAGACTCGTTAGCGGTTGGGAAAATTTAAGGCAAAAACAGGGGGCCAGTGTCTTGATCGCAAAACCTACTTACGACAGCTGCACAATTTTTAACGATAACTTGGTCGCAATACAAATGCGACGAACCGAAATTTGCTATGATCGGCCTTGTTATGTAGGTTTTGTGTGTTTAGAATTGGCCAAACTAATTCTTTATGATTTCCATTATAAATTTATTAAACAAAAGTACGGCGATAAAGCTGTGCTTTTGTACACAGATACTGACTCCCTGTATTACTCAATTGAAACGCCGGACGTTTATAAAGCCATTCGGGATAATTTAAATTTATTGGACACTAGCAATTATCCACCCCAAAATAAATACAATATTCCGCTGGTGAACAAAAAGTGTTTGTACAAAATAAAAGATGAATTAGGCGGCACGTTGTTTTTACTTTTTATCGGCATTCGAAGTAAGTCGTATTATATTCGGGCTGACGGGGTGGGGGGTGAAAAAAAAATTCTGAAAGGCATTCAAAAGGCTGTCGTTCAGAAAACTATTGCCGAACGCGATTATTTAAATTGCATATCACTCGAGAGTGTTAGGACTATGCGTAAAATGTGCTTGTTTAAATCGAAAAAGCACAGAATATACACGCAGATTGTATCGAAAGTAGCCATGACTCACAATGATGATAAACGTTTCCAATTACCTGATAGTCATTTCACTCTTCCGTGGGGGCATTATTCTATTGACGACGACGACGACGATGTCGAACTTATGGATATCCAAACGGTTTAAAATCGCTAACGAGAAAAACATTTATTCTATAAACAACGGAACACCAACGGTTTCGTGCGCGCACAGTACTGACGGTCACACAGAAAAATAAATCTGGTCTGGCCACGCGACGCTCGCATAAGAATTTCATCGGTGGTAGGATCGTTCCTATAATAATAGTCTGGGTTGCCGCAGCAGCCGTGAAATAACACACAGACTGGTTTTCAACCGACACACCCTCCGATTTGTATTACCTGTTTTGTTGTCGGTAAATAACGTTTGTAGTCGTAAGATTTTGTGTAGATAATTTTTACATTGTATATACGGGCATGCCCGTAGAAAAAAAATAAAGTGAAATTTTTATTATGTGCTGTGAAAAAAATATTTTATATACTATACAAATGTATGTTGTTGTTATAAGGACAGGTGAATCTTACATGTAAAAAAAAAAAAAAACGACTGGTTTTCGGTCGACACACACGATATTTATTTTATTATTCGTATAACGTTGTACAGACAATTTATATATTATACAGTATGCCCTTGTACCGTAGAAAAAATTAACTGAAATAGTTATACATATATATATATGTGTGTGTTGAGAAATAAAAAAATATTTTATGTACTATAAATGTTGGTTGATATTATTATTATTAAATATAACACGCAAGATTACATAATTTGTGTGTATGTGCGTGAAAAACTTAAAATAATTGAGGGTTATCTAAAATCCATTGTCTCAGTGTCCAGACGAGGGCGTTGGTACAAATGGCAATACGCTTAATTTTGTGAAACGCACACTGATTGCATTGTCCATTGCGACTTGACACGGCGTTGACAAGTACATCACGTTTAGGACAACCCAATTGTTCTAAATCAATTATCTAGGTGGAAATGTATTTCGACAACAACCGTTTTTTCTGTCGTCCTTTGACAAACACCAAATCGTGTCCGTCACAACACGATGTTAGTATAGATTGTAAGTCACTGTACGGTATGTATCAGTCAGAATAACGCACTTAACTCTTTTATGACTAGCTCGCATGATTGATCGAGACAACACTGGACATCCAATACAGTTGGTGACATATTGACGACTGACTTGCAAAAGTTAAACAACGTCTTTTGCATTTATCCATGCGTTATGACTTTCGGTCAAACCGAGAAACTTAACGAAACACCTGTCACCGTTTCGACGCAGTATTTTTTCGACTAAATACGTGTCTGGGTATTGCGTACGTTGTAATTCTTCAGCATAATAACTGCCTCTTATAGGCGTACCGGTTTTATCATTTAATTTATACGTTACGGGCAATGTATTAGCCACATGCTCTATAGTATATAGCTAAGGGGACCAGGAAATTTTGTAAGATTTTTGGAACAACATCTGACACTCTGACCGTGTCGCCCACGGCGAATAATGCCGGTTTAGTTTTAGGCCTCACTTGCCTATAAAATTTGACGGTACCCGGCGAGCGGTGGGCTTTAGACGGTGTCATGCGTATAGCCGAATGTTTACGAGTATTATACTGTAAGACGATATCTTGTAGTATCGGTAGCCACACGGATGACCCGGACGCGGTAAAATATTGCCATAACATTCGTTTAATAGTCCGAATGAACCGTTCTACAGGCGACGCGTTGTTTTTTTGTAAGCCGGACGCAGTCTCAGCTGCTTTGGTATACGGGAGACACCCTTTTAAAGTATACCTAAGAATAGATTGTATTTTTTTTTATGTTTTTGACTCCTACCTACTAAAGGAACCGTTCCGATGTTCGCGTTTTTCGGTCTGTACTGGAAATCAGAAATACCGAAACCAGAAATAGTCTACGTCAAAGCCCAATGGCTTATCGTATAAATTGTATTTATGCCTGCTCCTTAATGGAGTTTTTGGCTGTATACTCAATATGGCGGCGATCAGGAAAGGGACCGTTCCGATGTTCGCGTTTTTCGGTCTGTACTGAAAATCCGAAGAAATCAAAAAAGTCGGTAGTCAACAATTGAAACCGAGTCAAACTCCTCAAACTCAAAAGAAATCGTCATTCAGTATCGAACTTGATAAATTGGGACGTAACTCGGACGAGGACGGGAACAAAGAAAGTATTGAAACAGAAGAACTCTAAGTAAGAGCAAACGCAAGTTCCAGGTTCTCGACAATTACACAGTAGCCTACAACATGTTTATTATTATGTTCGTAGTAATTTCATGGGCGTCGTTTTTTTGTAAGCAGGACGCAGTCTCGGCTGCTTTGGTATACGGGAGACACCCTTTTAAAGTATACCTAAGAATAGATTGTATTTTTTTTTATCTTTTTGCCTCCTACCTACTAAATATGTACCATATGTATCATATTTATAGCCAGCTTTTTAGTGATGTCTCTGGTTGTGCATTCGATATCGTGGCGAAAGTAAGCAAAATATAAAAAGCAATTTAGTGTGTTGTAATAAATTAGTATGTATAGTGTGTATTGTATAATATTCACTATTTTCCTGATACGCAATCACTTTATACTTGATAATCTTGACCTTTTAAAACAATACTAGATTCATAGATTTTTAGCGATAGTGTAATCTAATCTTTTTGATTTTTTTTTTTTTTAATATATTGTACATCATATACCCATTTGGAATATTTTTTTTTTATTACAGAATATTAATTTTTTTAAGCAGATACAAACAATTATCTTGTCTCTAAATACATACAACGATACCAATCTACCCCAGGTAGCAAGCATATATTTCGAAAACCGAGGACATACAAAAATAGCAACTACTTACTAGAACCTCTTAAATTGTTTAATTTATCTTTGTACCACCACTCGTTCAATTGAACAACTTGATATCTAGCGCATGTACTGGATTGTCAAGCACAAACTTTACTATAATAATGTAATTTATAATTTTTGAAATTTGTTATTACAGGTGCTGATATTTAATTCATACCAAAGGATTCAAAATTCACAAGCAGGAACAATCGTTGATAGTGTTACAACAAATTTAACTTAAAAATGTTGGGAAGAAAAGAACCCACAACTGTGTTTAAATGAAATACCAAATAGAAATATAGGCCTCTAGGGAAAACCATGTAAAAACCCGCAATATGCATCACTCAAAACATGTTCTTATGCGATGCTTTTTCTTTTGTGCCCGTACACGATACATCTTAATGTTGACATCAGGGCTATTTTTTTTCAAATAAAGTTAGAAAAAAATTTTACTTTTAGAAATATTTAGTTATCTTTTTATTTATAGTGCTGTGTACTCTGTATAACTATTACTTTATAATATAAGCTCACTGGTGCCAACCCTTAATACATACTATAAGTTTTCAACTCGATGAAGTTTCGAAGTTTTGGGTTCGACAACTAACGTTGAAAACAATCCTGTTCATGAGTGGCTGATTTTGCGGTTATAGCATTTCAGTTAATTTTGTCAATTTATAATATGTTATCATTATCATTATGTTTATGTTTTATTAGTCATATTATTTTAAACACTTTATTTTATACAAATATTATGTTAAATATCAAGTAAAACATAATTTAAATTTAAGATAACCTACAAACTTGGATTAGCTATTGTAATGGCTTGCTGAAATTAGCCAAGTTTTACGACATAACCGATTTCTCCTTGAATGTTAATAATATTTAATGTACAACCTAAATGGGTTTTTCTCTACTTTGTACGTAACCAAAAGGTTAATAACATCATAAATGTGAATCATAAAATTCAATTTATTCATATAACTGCTAAGAAATCGTATACTTTGTACAACCAGAGATTGTGAAAACACGCAAATAAACACATTAAATATTGTATAAATTATGTATCCGACAATGTTCCGCGATTAACAGTGGATAGCTTGGCAATTCACCAACGACCCGGACTCGAGGATTAGCGGTTGCACAACTGGAAAAAGGTCACCAATGCGGGGATGCCAATGACTGCTTCCATTCCACCCGGATGGCAATTTTTCGTAAATACCAGCCGCTTCGCGCCACTAAAACAGAAGTGTCTTGGCTGTGTATTGCTCCACGTACCTGCAACGAGAGTCTTATTATACTGTTTGTGTATTAAATTTATGCTCATGAAAATACATACCTAATCATATTTTTGCTATCGAAAGTATTCTTTTAATTAAAAACATCCATATACCATCTTCAACCTTTGTGTTTTAAGTCTTCAAAGGCCACAGACTTAACACTGGCGCAGCATCGGTACGATTGTCAAAGGCGGGACTGATCTTTCCAGCATCACACCGAAGAACAATTGAAGAGTTCCAGCACTTCTTGATCTTCAACGCTCTTTGACGACCAGACGACTCAATATGAACGCTTTATTGTGAGTTAATCTTTAATATAAGAATATAAGATAAGTTAATTAAGTTGATTGTATGAGTAATAATAAGCAGTTAGGCACTTCTCATGTTAAGGTAGAATTAGATTTATCTGAGGTTACGTTAGAATCTAATGAAATTAATTTGATTAATTTAGACGACAGTAACGGTAGTTCTATTATTATTAATCAGGAATCTAAAACCGACCCGGTAGACCTTTTAAACAGAGAGTTTAAAACAGATAGGCGACTAACTAGGAGTACACCAGGTGTAGTGCATGTTGAACTACAAACAGTTAGGAAAACAAAATCTAAAGTAAAAGAAATTAACACAACAGCTACGGCTAATACACCAGAAATAGAAACTAATCAACCAATGATGTCTTCAACTCCTACTTTAAGTTTAACTGACGCGTTACATTTAACTCCTAAATACTCCGGCGAAACGGATATTTATCAATTTTTAAATGCATGTGAGGCAATAATTAATTCAGTTAGTGCCGATCAAATACCGCTTTTGTTAAAGATGATTTTAAGCACCAAGCTTACGGGCCGTGCATTTAATTGTACTAAATATAAAACTTTAGCATCCTGGGAGGAGTTGAAAAAATCATTGCTTGACGCGCTTGAAACACCTTTTGCAGCGGCTAACTTACAAATTCAATTAAATATAATAAGAATGAACAAACAGAAAAACACAAAAAGAATGAACTGTTTGTGTATTAAATTTATCCTCATGAAAATACATACCTAATCATATTTTTGCTATCGAAAGTATTCTTTTAATTAAAAACATCCATATACCATTTTCAACCTTTGTGTTTTAAGTCTTCAAAGGCCACAGACTTAACACTATAGTAGTTGATGACTACATCAACTTGAGTACGGATAAGTTCAGCCTAAACGATATCCTTTCTGCTCTGAGCGTTGACATATCGACGACTTGGGTAGACACTGAGATCATACCTCTTATGCTCACGTCAATGTCAAATGATCCCGTTCGGTGCGTTTTTTTACGTTTGGAACGTGTGCCTATGGTACACGATGTATCCATCTATCGCAATTGACTGTACGCCCACTTTGATGTTTATTCTATTTAACGCCTTATTGACGATAATGAAGAGAGATACTAGAAATTATTTGAATACGAACTTTTATGCGATTACTCGAAGCGAGGGTGAGGTTCTTGACGATTGACTAGTGTGATTCCTATAGATCAGAACGTTTGGCTTTCTCTATTCTATTGAACTCCCTATCCTGGAGTCGACGCCCACGCGACGGAGGATTCTTTCGCATTTTATATGATGTACATGCTCAACTGGCGGAACTCGGGCAACGGGTACGCTTGCTTGACTGTCGTTTGGGAGTGCACCCGGTGGCGTTGGGGGTCCTAATCGAACCCTGGGAGGTGGACATGGCGGAATTGGATGCCCTTAGGGCAGACAATATGCTGTGGGCCGCCTACCAGCGGGGACTCAGAGCGGGCAGAAGGGAAATGGCTTCAGTCGCGGATCGCGTGAACCCCCACCACCTCGACGACAACCAACGTCGAGAGGAGCGCATCCTGAAGCTGGGAGACAATACCCCAGAGCCAATCCTCCCCCAGGAAGAGAAGGCAAAAGCGCGGTCAGGCCAACAATGGAGGCTGGAGGAACCAAAAAAAGAGGGGTCTCCTATGGACGTGTATGAGGCGGTACTGACGGCACCACCAACCGTTTTTTGTTTCTCGTTTTCTTTAAAAAGGAAACACGTTGAGTGCTGTTGAGCACTTGTTATATTATTATTATTTTATTGGTGTTTCACCCAATTAAACGGACCCAGCCCACGTACGTTAACACCGAACGCGTTTATTTATTAATACCACATATTTATTCTGTGTTCTCTATTTCCCTTCTACCGAGACGCCGACCACCCCCACGTGTCGCGTCAAGTTGGACAATGGCAAATTGGGATTTACCGATAACGATAATGATAACAATAGGAATTTTTGTAATAAACCGGATAAATTAAAAGCCATACTATCGGAATTATATGACAGTCTATATGAATCGAACAATATACTTCATAGTAATTATAAAAAACCTTATATATCAATTTTAACCTAGGAACATAAACATTCAGTCGATTCATGTAGGAGATAAAGTTTTGGTGAGGAATCATGCGAAAAAACATTCCCTAAATGTAAATTGGTTGGGACTCTTTGAGGTAACTCAAACACATGATAATGTAAATATCACTATCATGAAGGGAAAGAAAGAAATTCAACTAAACAAATGTTAAGCAATTCTTTGAATAACTTAGGCATATGCATTCTCTATATAATTCTTTTATTCTTATATATATATCACTACTAATGCACAAAATTACAGTAGCAATTCGCCGGTTAATCGCATGCTAAATTTATGTAATAAAATTAATAATTTTGATTTTTTCATGGTTCAGCAACATATAATGCCATACGAAATATATATAATGTACACAACTTCAGTACGTTAACGCATCACATCATCGCAACCTGGATGGGAAGAAAGGCTCTAAACAGATTGCAGGTATGTATGTTATTTAGGCAATATTGAAGATGTTACTTGGTTTGGTAGTGATTATACGAGTTTGATGAATAGGGCCGTAACAAAAGAAGGTAATTTTGGCAGCGTCCACTTGCCACTCCGCCAAACTGGATTGGACCACGTTGAAACACAACGTTTACTGAATATAGGAAACTTTACAGAAGCCTTGGATATATTACATTATAGACACATACAAAACAATTTTTGGGACGTTAACACATTTTTCTTCATCCTTAGAAAATGTATTCAATATTCATTGAATTGGAGACAGATGTGGTGTACCCTTTCGTCGAAAAACTGGTGCTGTTTGTGTATAATTTTTTGAGGGTTCACGTTTGGACACCGATGTGGAGATATTTTTGTGTTAGATTGGGATTTGACGAGGACTCAACCGTTATGTCAATACTAGTCCAGACGAGAATGCTTGAAAGTTTTATAACAGCAGTGCTGCTTGTTGCGTATGGAATTAATTTAAACAGGATGCTTGCTATTGTTTTCACATTGCATGTGTTCGTTCATATGTTGAATAAATAAAACACACCGTAGGTCTAAAATTTCTTTACTTATGTATTTATATTAGCCATAATCGAATTTAAACTTTTAAATTATTGTTTCTGGTGATACACCCGACCTGAATATTTTAATTATTGCTTACCAACTTTTAAAACTAAATAAATAAATAATTCATTAAAATGTCTAAATGTTTGCATTTGATGTTTGTAATTGTCACAGTTGCACTGTCCTTTTCTGTTTGGTGAGCTGTTGACATATCAACCAATACTTCATACATAATAGCTTCCAAACATGTCATCAACGTACATAACTTTGGATGTGACAAATTTGGCCAAAAAAAATTTTATGTTACATGGACAAATAATAAAGCAATGAATATTACATCGTTTTATCCTGATGGGTACATTGGAGTCAGTAATGGTACCGATATTATTGTTGGTACTAGTTACAACATGATTACAAGAAACCAGTACGTGCAATACACAACAGTGTTACCAGGACAGGATAACGATGGACTGTTCATTGAGACATGCGAAAAAGTGACATATGAGCATCGCATTGACTTAGGTCTGTTTGCAATACTTGTAAGCGTTATATACGTATTGGTGTTGGTTTTGTATTATGTGTTGATTATTAAATGTTGTGCGCATAATGATTATTAAGGTATAAATTAGCTCATAATTATCGTTCCACTTATCATTTTACTTTATCAATTATTTCTTAATAACAATTTAAAATGTCTGACACCCAAACTACTCCAAAATCTGACTCCCAAGGCAACAACAAACAAAAAACCAGGATTTTCTCACAGAAACCTAATCCTGATAAAGTTGCTGCGGACCTTGTAAAGAAGCTGGATAATACATTGTCAAAGTATGTAAAAGTTGCCAACGACGCTAAAAGAGACTTAGACAAAAAGAAAGGCAAGCCAAAACAACCGATCGCAGAGAAACAAAACTCTATAGACAGTATGATACGCGATATGGAGGAACAAGGCCTAGTCGAACCGAGCACATCGCCCTGGGCCGCCCCTATAGTATTAGCCAAAAAAAAGACGGGTCCCCCCGACTCTGTATAGACTATAGGCGTTTAAACGAGGTCACCGAATCAGACGCTTATCCCATGCCGCATTTGAACGAAATGATTAGAAACATGCGGGGGCGAAAGTATTTAGCGTTTTGGACTTAAAATCTGGCTACTGGCAGGTCTCCCTAAGTCCAAGTGCGTGTAGATACACTGCATTCAGAACGCGAAGAGGACTCTTTCATTTCAGAGTACTTCCGTTCGGCTTAAAGAAATCCCCTATGACGTTTGTGAGATTAATGAACGAGGTACTTAGAGGATATTTAGATGAATTCGTTCAGGTATACTTGGATGATATAGTAATATTTTCCAATAACTTGCCCGACCACTTAGACCATCTCTCGAAAGTTCTCGAACGGCTCGAACGTCATGGACTAACGTGTCATCCTAAGAAATGCAAATTAGGAACTCCCGAAATTTCATTTTTGGGGCACTTAATTAGTTCGGAGGGAATTCAAAAACAACCGGAGAAATTATCAGCGATCAGAGACTTTCCGATACCACGGAAAGTTAAAGATCTACGTAGGTTCTTAGGCGTATGTAATTGGTATAGTCAATTTGTCGACAGCTACTCCGACACGATTGAACCTCTAACCCGCCTATTAGGACATGGGGTAAAATGGCGATGGGAAAGGATAGAACAAGACGCCTTTAATCAAATAAAGAATGCTTTGTACCATTCCCCAAAGTTATCTTCGCCCGACTACATCGCCCGTTCTGTCTGCAAACTGATGCAAGCGACATAGGCGTTGGTGCTATTCTCTTCCAAAGGGGTGACAGCCCGGAGGAAAGAAGAGTCATCGCCTACGCGAGTAAAAAGTTGAGCGATACTCAGAAACGATACGCTGCGGTC